TCCTAAACGGTAAGTTAGAAGAAGAGATTTACATGGAGCAACCTAAAGGTTCGTTTCTCCTAACCAAAAACACAAAGTGTGTAAACTTGTTAAATCCTTGTATGGATTAAAACAGGCTCCTAAACAATGGCACCAAAAGTTTGATAAAACAATGTTGTCAAATGGATTCAAGATCAACGAATGTGACAAATGTGTATATATTAAACATACAATGTATGCCTATGTAATTGTATGTCTATATGTGGAGGACATGTTAATAATAGGCAATAGTCACGAAATATTGCTTAACACCAAAAAGATGCTAATAAAGTATTTCGATACGAAAGATATGAGTGTGGCAGATGTAATTCTAGGGATTAAAATCTCTAGAACGTAAGATGAAATTGTACTTTCACAATCTCACTATATAGAAAAAGTATTTGAGAAGTTTGATGTATTTGAGGAAAGTCATGCGAGAACTCCTCTTGATCCGAGTATGCACTTAGTAAAAAATACAGAAGAAAGCATATCACAACTAAGGTATTCATAAATAATTGGCAGTCTTATGTATATTACAAACTGCACTTCACCGGATATTGCTTTTGCGGTGAATAAACTTAGTAGATTTACAAGTAATCCAAACCGTAATCATTGAAAGGCTTTGACGAGGGTTCTAAGGTACTTGAAGTATACCTTAACCTATGGATTACACTTCACAAAACATCATGCGGTACTAGAAGGATATTGTGATGCAAATTGGATATCCGATATGAAGGATTCCAAGTCCACTAGTGATTATGTATTCACCATTGGTGGAGTTGCTGTATCATGGAAATTAACAAAGCAAACGTGCATAGCTCGATCAATGATTGAATCTGAGTTTATTGCTTTGAACAAAGTTGGAGAAGAAGCAGAATGACTTCGAAATTTCTTAGAAGATGTTCCATGTTGGCCCAAGCCAGTACCTGCGATAAGTGTACATTGTGATAGTCAATCAGCAATTGGAAGGGCTCGAAGTAGCATGTAGTCTAGACATATTCGTCGTAGACACAACACCATTAAGCAACTATTCTCAAATGGCATTATCTCCATAGATTATGTGAAATCAAAGGAGAATATTGTGGATCCACTTACGAAAAGTTTGCCTAGAGATCAAATGCGTTGTCTATCGAGAGGACTGGGATTAAAGCCTACTACGTAAGAGTTTTTGCAATGATAACCCTACCTTGTTGACTGGAGATCCCAATATCTTGGTTCAAAGGGACAACTAAGTTGTGAAAATTCCATGAAGTACTTAGGAAATTAGAATTCCTAACTCATTCCTATGATACTAAAGTGCTTTCTGCAGAGTGAATAGAGGTTAAGATTATCTTTTAATGATTTCTATATCTTGATTAAGTCAAGTGGAGTAAGGCAGAATACTCTCAATAGGAGGTCACCTATGTAAGTGTAAAGTGGGGCTGCTTTGATAAGAATTGTTTAAAGTTTGAATTCTCTAAACACTTATGAAACCAAGAAGGGTTCAGGGTCAAAATGAACCAAGTCATGAAAACTAAGTACAGAATAGGAAAGATATCCGTGTGAGTACTGTTTTCTTGACTTACACCAAAGGCTGAGTGGTTCAAGACCTATGGTTCATCAATTAGTCGAGTAAATTCGATAGTATTTCACTAAGGGAGGTTCAAGGCCAGAAGCCACCATCCCTGATGCAGTATTTTTTCGCACCCTCTCTACATTGCATCATATCATTGCATTTGCATATACGTACCCGAATTTCCATTCATGTGGGGGATTGTAGGAATTGGTTTAAATTATTAACCAAAAATTGGAAAATGAAAAGATATTTAAAAGTGGAAAATGAAAAGGTGTGACTACGTGTCAATTTCGACCAAATATTCGAACTTAATTCGATGGTCAAATTACAAAATTAAATGGACCAACTTATTCTACTTGTCGAGTAGATCGTTGTGGCATATTTGGAATCTCGAAACCAATTCCAAATGAATGAGAAATTGAGGACAAAAGTTGGAAGAAATGAAGTGTAGCAACTTTTCAAAAGGATGCAGGTTTTGACCAAGTGTTGCAACTTTTTTAAAATGATGCATGTTTTGGCTCATACTACTTCATTTGCACCCTTTCTATATCTATAAATAGAACCCTATGGACATAGTTTTGGGTACACCAATTGCATTGATCATTCATTCCCCTCTTGCAATTCTCTCCTTTCTAATTCCATATCATTTCATACATTTCCTTTGTAGAGGGGAAATTCTGTCAAAAGTTCGTCGGTTTCTTGTGATTTGAAGTGCTGCTACCACAAGTTGTGAATCCATTGTATCTTGGGAGACAAGTGTCATTCACCGTGAGCACCGTAGCGGGGCAATTTGTCTTAAGGAAAGAGATAACGTCTCACCTTGGATTATTCTCTATTTCTACTCCTTCTTAATCCTTGTTTTGCGTAGTCTTTATACCGAAACTCTGTCCAAATTTTCATTCATATAAATTGTGTTTTGATCACGCTCTTGTGGGTTAAAACTAGTCAAATAAATATATCAAAAAACTCACTTGTCTCCAACAATTGCCTAGAAAATGCAATCTGTCTCACAAAAGAAATCATTCATGCGTACATGCACAAATACATTGCACAAACATACACACCTGTATTCTTATAAATATGAATGTTGAGAGAGAGAAGACCTGAAAAAAGGCTTTTGGGGTGTCCCTCTCTCCGAAAGAACAAGGATAAATTACAAAGCAAAGAGAGAGGAAAAAGTGGATCCGGTGGTGTCGGATCCGAAGGCAATTCCAAACCCTTTTTTTCCCCGAATACCAGAAACCAATTCTTTATAGAATTTACAGTGGATTGCGCGTGTAATTGTGTGCATATATAAGATGGTAGATATAGAAGAGGGGACAGGGACAATGGAACGTAGTCCAAGCTCTTTATCCATTTTGGTTTATTACACCATGTTGACCCCAAAATATATTGTCAATAGATACCAAATTCATCTGCGCATACGTAAGTCTGGTCCAACATGCTAAGACACGTGGACAGTCTCAAATGGACAGATTAAAGGCGTGGGAGTGGCTCAAAGGCGCGAGACGAGAACGTTTAGAATCCGACAAGATGTTTGCATAACGATTGTACAATAATTACCAATCGATATTTGTAGAATGCGAGTATGAAGTCATGTATGTTGCAAGAGAGTAAAATGTGAAGAATGTTGTATTTGTTCTTGTGTTGAATCTTGCATTACCCTTGTGAGAGATACGTGGGGAGTATTTATAGTATTACAACTTAGATTGTGGCCCTTGGTTGGAAGTACACGTGATCTCATCTCGTAAGTCTACATGTCATATTATAGGTGTTACATTTGACTTCCTAGCCTGCTACACATTAATTAATTGACGGCTCTGCCACTACATTGACAAGACAAGACACTTGTACCCTATGATGTGTGTCTCATCAATCATTCAGGAAGGATCCTTGTGTAAGACCGGATCTCTGGCGAGCAGTGCTGCTTAGAGCCTCAGAACCTCGGAGAGAAGGGCCTCGGCTATGAGATCTTCTCTGCGTATTAGTTTCGGAAGCAGCACTTGGACCACGTCCGGTGTTGTTATAATATGCTGGTGAACTCCTATTGGGATGGGTGCCTCGAATAAGATGTCACGTGGTTCGGCCATGGCCCCAGTGGGTTGGCCAAGTGTGCCAACACGTAACACGCCACATTTTTTTTTTGCCGTCCTTATCCTCGTGGCAAAACTATGGTGAATTAACGTTAGTGTTTCATTTGTCCGATGATCTTGAGTTAGATGTCCTGTTTTTCTCACAAAGTCATCTGGTTTCAGTAATAAATAAGATATCTATATTTTTTTATTTGATTTTAATCAAGTAATTGTATTTTAGTTTTATTCGATTCAATTGTGTAATTTGATTTCGTTCCATTTAAGGGTCCACCTTCATTTAATTAACGAAATCTGATGATGTGATCATCAATCAAAGACGATTGTCTTATATGTCCCTTAGATGCTGACATGTAAAAATAATAATAACAATATAAAAATGTGTCTTTGTTGACAATAGTTAGGGGAAAAAAATTGTAGTTGTATATCGTTAGACAAGTTAATGAAGATGACTCAAAATTAGCGTTCTAAAAAGCGCGTCGTGAATAAAACGCTTTGCCTTGATAGAGTTGACTGCTTAATGTTCGTCTTTTATTATTATTATTATTATTATTATTATTATTATTATCATCATCATCATCATCATCATCATCATCATCATCTTTTTACCCATCATTATTATCATCTTTTTACCTTTTTATATGACTTTAATTTATTAACTTTTTTATTTTTTCCTTTTTCCAAAAGGCTTCTATTTGACTTTTGCTTCAAGTTTTTAAATATCCTATAGGATTTAGATAAATATTATTTTAATTATTAAATAAATTTTAGAATAACTGAGTATTTAAAATAATAAAAAAATTACAAACAGTTTTTTACACCTAAGGATGTGTTTGATTACATTTATTTTCTATAAAAAATATCAATTTTCTACTCAAATTCCTATTTTAGATGTTTGATTGTTATTTTTTTTCATTGAAAATATTTTACAACTTTTGAAAATATGTTTAATTTTCCTTTTTTTAAGGAAAATATCTTCTTTGGGGTAGATGATATTTGTTTTCCTCAAAGCAAAAACTTTTTTTTTTGTAGGTGAAATTTTTCATAACAATGAAACACACTCTAAATATATGTTTGAGCCACATTTTAGGAAAAAAAAATGTATTATTTATTTCAAATTAATGAAAAATGTGTGGTTAAAAAATAAGGAAAAATTTTAGATTTGCATATAATCTTATTTTATTAAAAAATATGTAATTAAAATAATGTTAAATAATTGATAAATAATATATTTTTTAAAAATAATGTGAATCAAACAAGCCTCGTTTGCGTACGGAAACCTTGAAATTTGATCATACGCTTAACTACTTTTTGGTGCACCGTAAAATAATTGTGTTTTGAGTAAGGTACAAAAATCGCTCAATTCAAATAGCGCTTTCATCGAAATAAACGGCACTGAACAATTATACGTCGCTTTGGGTATCGAAAGCCTCTCAAGCTGCAATTCCCAATTCAGAAACCGGTCTAGGTAATTTTTACACATAATTTGAATACTTCTGATTGTATAATCTAATTAGTGATTCTGATTTTCATTTTGTCTTGTGATATTACTATTATTTATTCAATTTGCATTCGATCGGTGTTTAATTCTTGTGTTACTTTCAATTTTAATTAGAATCAACTGAAAGAATCACCATGAGCGAGGTATTTGAAGGGTACGAACGCCAGTATTGCGAGATTTCTGCGAATTTATCGAAGAAGCTGACGTCGGCCAGTCTACTTGACGGAGGTTATTTTTGTATCATAGTAGCCATCTTGTTTTATTATGCATTGGTTATGCTTTGAATTTTAGACTGTAAATTGCAGATTTTAAGTGTATACTGAAGTGTGTAATAGATCGATTTGGATATCTTCTTAATACCTCACCACCTGGCTCATCTGAATTAGGAATCTACTTCAAAAATACACTAGAACCAAAAAATTCCATATTTTGTGAATTTATGTGTGAGATTTGTCATGGTGTACTATGACAGAATCCCTCTTTCTTGTCAATCTTTAAGCTTTTCTACTCTATTTTTGTCTTGGATAGATGGAACTGTCATTAATGCTATATGCTTATAGTTAAAAAGTTTATTTGTCAATGTACTAACTCTGATTACTTGCTAAAGTTTTCGAATAGTGCAAATAGCAAGAATGAGAGTGATACATATTAGGAATGATTTCCTAAGTATCGATGCTTAGCTTATGTTAAGCACCGGTGACATGGCATATCATTTAATTGGTGAATAACGTAAGCTAAGTATCGGTATTTAGGAAATCATTTCCATTTGTGTGTCTATATATATATATGCATGCTCAGAGAAGGAAATTTGAGAATAAAAAAAGTTTCTTATAATTTCTATTTATTGTATTTGAGCAATTTTCGATCAGTGCTCTCTCTCTAGGAAAGAGGGCCTAGGGAAGTCTTATACCTCATTATGGACTGCATGTTTATTTAGAATATGTTTTTGTTTTTGCATGTAAATACCCACTTTCCTTATATGCATTTGTGCAAAGCAACTTTTAGTTTGACTACAAATATTGATTGGTATTGTGATGCGTGTTGTTGCTTGTGGTTCTAAAGAATTTGCTGGTGTTCTTATGAATTCTTTTCTCTAGTTCTTCCTTACAATATCATGGAAATTGATTATTTGACATAAAAATACCTGATCTTTGCAGAGCAGAAGAAGCAAAAAATCTCTGAAGTAAAAACTGGAGTAGATGATGCTGAAGCTCTGGTGAGAATCGTCTACATTGAGACATTATTTATATTGTTTCTCTTATTTCTGTTTTGTCGGAGTTCTTTTTGACATTAGCTGATAATTTAACAGATTCGGAAAATGGACCTTGAGGCCCGTGGCTTGCAGCCAAATGTTAAAGCGGTGCTGCTTGCTAAACTAAGAGAATATAAGTCTGATCTTAACAATTTAAAAAGTGAAATGAAGCGAATTTCATCAGCAAGCCTAAACCAGGCTGCCCTTAATTTATTTTTTTTTTTTTTTTTTTGCTTGGAGGGAAATATTATTATTAAGAATTGTAAATGCTTGTTGGTTGATGTGTATCTCAAGTTTTGGGAGTATTCAATTCAGCTTTTCCTCCTTTAGGCATACTGCATAAATTTTTCATATGATCCTGAAAATCAATAGTTTTGTGGTCTAATTATAAATTTCTGACCTTCCTTCCCCCATGCAACATAAATAAATGTTCAAGTAGATAACATGTTTTAAGAGGAACAAGCTATACCCTCTTGGTTTAACTTATTGAATTTGTTGAGGCGCTGATAATTACTTTAATAGGTATCGGCTAATCAGAGAGACAGATTGTTAGTGTCAACTGAAAGAGTAAACAAGTCGAGTGATAGGATTCAAGAAAGTAGAAAGGTCATGCTGGAGACAGAGGATCTTGGCGTCGCACTTCTTCAAGATTTGCACCAACAGCGGCAGTCTCTCTCACATGCAAATAACACGGTATTACTTTGTCAGCATTTTGTTCTTTTAAGGATTTCTTCGCAGTTTTTTGGAGTCTCTCATCTAAGCCCCTGTTTGGGAAAGATTTTTTTTGATTATAGGTGGTTAAACTTCATTTTTACCATAGATTTCATCAAACTCACAACTTTATCCACTTTTCAACCATGCATTTTATGGGACCCATCAGCTTATAATCTCAAAAAGCTTTATCAAACGGGGGCTAAAGAAGTGGTCGCGTAATGTGTCTTAAAGTTTGGAATCCCCGGTTCCCAAGCAGACATTGCCGAACCTTCTTACTTTTAGTCGCTCATTAGATCTGAGATCTTTATTTGCCATCTATTTTGGCTGAAACTATTAAGAGTTATTGTGGTTTATCACTTTATCTTTACCTATTTCAGCTGCATGGTGTGGATGACAACGTAAGCAGGAGCAAGAGAATTATAACTTCCATGTCAAGGAGGATGAACAGAAACAAGTGGATTATTGGTGCTGTAATTACAGTTCTAGTCATTGCTATTATTGTGATTTTGTATTTTAAACTTTCGAAGTAACCAGGTCTGTTTTGAGATGTAGTGAAGTACAAGAGCTTGTTATTTACTCATCTCCATATCTTACTTTCTGTGAGTTTAAAAGACGTTGTTCTGTACGATGTACATGAGCTGTAGGTTTGAAACATATTTGTGATCTTAATGGTCGAATATTAAATGTAATTTGGGATTACCTTGTAAAATCTTGGACATGGGGTTTTTGAATATGGGGGGTTTTCACTTCAAAAAGCGGTTTGAATAAAAACTGGGAACGAGCCCAGTATAGGGCTTGAAGCTCTCTCTTCTTGCTCATTCCCGACTAATGGAAACATTCACTAGTCCGGTATTATAGCTTTTTTGAACCAACTTCAATTTCAACTCTCATCAAATCCAGATATCAATCCACTGAGTTCGATGATCTCTTCTAGAGCTAAAGCAGAGTTAAGAAGGGATTGGTCGAAGCTCTTGCTCGTACAAGTTGAATCTCGAAAAAGTACGTAATCATTTACTATTGTATCATGGTTTCATGTCCTTGAAACTGTAGGACGTGTGGTTAGCATTTCCAATTGTATGCAGTCTAAGTTCAAATGATTATATTTAAATTTTACATACACGAGTGTCAAGAACATGCCAATGCATTTTGGTGGTTGCATCATGTCTAAATTGTACAGTTGAATCTTGAATTCACCAAACAAGAAAGAAATTGAAATTAGTTTTATTTGAATTATCTATTACGTCTTCTGTCTATATTAGACCCCTTGTTTGGTTGGAAGGATGAAAAATAAGAGTCTACGAACTTTTTGTGGTTATGACTTAAATTGGAGAATATGGATGATACACAAAAGATTGAATTCATTCCCTCTATTATAATTTATAAGCATAGTTACTGGATGTTGTGGAGGTATCACTTCTTTAATAATTCAATATTTAAAATTTGTGAGGGGAACTATCTGCAAGGGGATGTAGCTCAAATGGTAGAGCTCTCGCTTTGCATGCGACAGGCACGGGGTTCGATCCCCTGCATCTCCATATAATTTATTTTCATTTTGTAGTTTTCCAACTTAATTTTGCTGAGTTTTAAGTATGATATTAGTATATCAGTCGTGACGAAAACTCAAATTTGCCAAGCATAAATTATGAACGTCTTGACTTTTGAAATTACATTCAGAAAAGAGGAAAAAGAGTGATATCAACAATTCTCAGTCTACATTAACGCGATTATCCTGTAATGCGCAAACATCCTCTACATTTTACACTCAAAATCCTGAAAAACTGCACTCAAGGGGAAAACTAAGTACAATAAAAAAATGTAAAAATGGTGTTTGCCGAGCCTCAACTAATAAACCAGCATTCCTAAGGCCTCAAATAGGTTTCTTCAATTTTCAGGCTTCCCATTTTGACCAAATAATCTACCAACCTCCCAGTTGTCTGAATTTTTTATCATATCAAATTCGATCTTATGTTAAAGCCTTTGGTCTTTCCCTCTTGAATTCGCTATAGTCGGAAATCAAGCTGCCATTGACCTTATTCTTCATGTTCTCCACCAATCTCCTTAGGATCTATACACAAAAGCACACTAATAAGTTATTGGGGTGGCAAGGTGTGGAGTGCACTAATAAATAAATGGGGCAGATGAAATAACTGATTCTGAGACATCTCGTCGAACATTTTCAGGGACTAAAGCAAGCAAAGGAGGTAGAACAAAGCTTATGCTCATCTGTAGTTGACCTTTGAGCCTACTTCGTGGTCCACTTCTGTCAGGATATAGGGCCCCTTTTACACCAAGGGAAAACTGAGACGGCTTAAGCATGTCGTCTAGCCCCTGCAGTTCCCATCTAATCTGCACAATAACAGCTCGTGGTTGCTATCTTAGAGTGTGTTTGATTGACATGGAAAATATCACCTAGAAAAGAAAATATTTTCCATCTTTTGTGAAAAATAAAAACCACCTTTACCCAAGAAAAATGTTTTTTTTAAAAACAAGGAAAATTAGGCATATTTTCAAAAGTTAGAAAATGTTTTCCATAAAAAAAAATAGCAATCAAACACTTCAAGTAGAAATTTGGGTGGAAAACTGATATTTTCTATGGAAAATAAATGTAATAAAAAACACCCTTAAAGATTATACGCACAAAACTTCCAGTAAACAAAAAATATAAAGAGATTCATTTGCCACATGCTTACAATGTCAAGCTCAAGAACCTTTGAGATATGGCAGGGTACCCCAGGTGGGTATCCTGTCCCATTTGATTTACATCTCAACCTCATGTCAATTACGGGGTGCACGGTGAGGAATAGAAACTCTATAGGTAGCATATGTACTCTCCACTCTTCCTGCAGAGAATTGATCGGCAAGCATCATGTAAAAGGCTAAAAGAACGTGCGCATTTGTTTGTTACCCATAAATAAGAATAGAGACACAGAAAGATGCACACTAATAAACTAATTAGAAATCCTCCAACTCAGTCAACTTGTGAGAAAATCGAAAGCATGCAAATGTAGACACTATATTACTTCACTGCACTCACTTGGAATTGGAGGTACAATTAAATGTACTTTGTCTGAATGTGTGTGTCTACTCCAACTTGATGTGAAATAACTTATGTTTTCTTGGTCGCATTCTCCTCACTTTGCGGTCTTGGATTGTCAAATGGCTTCGGTCTATTTGTTAATGCTTTCACGAAGTGGTCTTGTAACAAACTTGGATCATCAAAACTTCTGGTCATTTATATGTTATACTCTCACGGTGTTATCTTGAATTATTACCTTGCTGAGATTATCTTCTCTCTGTCAATTCCATCACCTTTTATGCCCTTCCCTGTATTTCACCTTAGGTTTTCTATGTTGTTTCGTCTTAGTTTGCTATTATCTCTTCATGAATAGTAGAGGGACTGGTCTTAATGTCCAATAGCAGTAACCTCTCATGTTCTCTCCATTGCAATCTTCTTGATTTTTCTCACCTAATATTGTACTACGTAATAACGAAGTCAAGAACATGAGTTCTTTTCATCAGGGCCTTCCCAAATTCGATTCCACTCTTTTAATATACACACTACTATGTTGTAATGCTACAACCTTTAATAATAATAATAATAATAATAATAATAATAATAATAATAATAATAATAATAATAATAATAATAATAATAATAATAATAATAATAATAATAATAATAATAATAATAATAATAATAATAATAATAATAATAATAATAATAATAATAATAATAATAATAATAATAATAATAATAATAATAATAATAATAATAATAATAATAATAATAATAATAATAATAATAATAATAATAATAATAATAATAATAATAATAATAATAAGAAAACTCGAAATGTAAATGATGCATGAATTACAATTGAGTTGATGAATAATCTTTTCAGAAATTGATGAATGCTGGGGAATTAATTCACTGAAGAATGTGCATAACGATAAATTCCAAAATGCCCAACACCCACGACTACAAAATCAAGATCTTTTGCAGTATTCTGATGAATACAGATGAAATTAGTATAATAGTACCTCATTAAGTTGTTGGCTCCTTCGTTTATCAGGAAAAATGGCTTTAAATACTCTAGGCTTATCCTCTAAATACTGATCAAATGAAGCCTGCAAACCCAAATTCAAAGTAACTAAACCCCATAACTTTTAAATAATGCATAATTAAAGAGAAGCTCTAGAAGAAGTTTGTATATTATTACCCCAGGCTTTTCATAAAGAGGAATATCAGTGGAAATTCTGGAAATGTAAGTAGAAGAATTCGTCATTTGGGTTTTCACTAGCATCGACCGTGGTCTGAGTATCTTGCATTGCCATTTTGGACTTTGCTTAGTCAGCCTCCCTTTGAAATGCGAGCCGCCGCCCAACACCATTTGGCACCACGGAAACACCGCAATTTCGGCCATATTGAAGCAAAATTAAAGGGGAAAGGGAAAGGGAAAGGGTAAGTGAAGAGATGAGGAGAAGATGAAGATGAAGACAACCATATCTCTATCCACCAGATAAAGCAAATCTTGATTTTCGTTTTCCTTGTGATGGACCTGAGAGGTACATGTCAAGTATTGTTCCTTTTTCTTCCTTACGTGGCGCTTCCCAGTGGCTAAAGACGTCTCTTGCAATCTTGTGAATTATTTGGCGATAAAACTTTTCAGTCACTTTCTAAAAGCTGAGGACTAATTTGCTATAAAAGTAATAAGGGTCCGATTGATTTTAAAGAGAAAATTTAGATGGAAAGAAAATAAATTTCATGGATTTAAATTATCTAGAATTGTTTTTTTGGGAATTATAAATTATTGTGTTTGATTGATATAATTTTTCACGTGAAAAATATTGAAATAAAAGTGTTTTTTGGTGTTCGTTAGGCTTTGTTTCATATGAAAATTGTTAATTAAAGAGATAATTTACTGATATTGGAGATGAAATTTGTTTTCATTGTCAAAAAAAATTCAAGAAAATAATTTATCTTTTAGTGTTCGTTTGACTTGTTTTACAGG